CCTCACTGTGCACTCAACTATCCCACACTTCCAGAGCTTGCCCAGGAGGATGTTGTGAGGGACAGTGTCAAAAGCCTTGGTGAAGTCCAGGTAGACGACATCCACCGCTCTCCTCTCATCTATCCAGCCAGTCATACCACCATAGAAGGCTGTCAAGTTAGTCAAGCATGATTTCTTCTTGAGGAATCCATGCTCCATGCACTTACGAAGTCAGCGTAATGGTGCACACCTCTATAGGGTAATCAACACCAAATCTGAAGTCAAAACTCAACTGTACAGTTCAAGAAACAAAAGACACCTTTATCTTCGAGGATATTTTTTGCCTCCCAAGTACCTTAGAATTCCTTCCGTGCCAGAATATTCTAACAGCTTAGTATCACTGACTGCTATTTACTAAGAGCTACGTCCATCATAAAGTGCAAAAGATCACCCAGCACCAGATAATCAAGTCAAAGATCAGTTCTGCACAAAGCTGACCACTGATAACCTTTTGACTCCTGGTACACAGGAAAAGAAATTCCCACCAATATCTACTAATCCTGTATCCGTGAGAAAAAAAAAAAATCTGAAGCTGAAGTAGTTAAAGTTAAAACATGCTCTACTAAATGCACTTCATACTCCACATACAGTTTCTCTCTGATACCAATTCTTTTGATAATGGCATATTTAGGTAATGGCTATGGCTGTATCAAAGCCAACGGGAAACACAAAGACCTGGCCTGAACACAGGTGTCTACAACACAGCTGTCGTGTAGCTGTGCAGCTCTGCTGCCCATGACTGCAGCGTCTGTGGAGGACGCTTTCTCCACCCATTAAATCCATCTTAATCCAGCCTGTCTTCTGGTGTTCCTAGCTGCCAAACAGCAGCCTCCTCCAATAAACTCAGAGATTAGCAAGGCCAGCGCGTACCTGGCTCAGCCCAACACAGAGCATAAAACCTCAGCAAGTGGCCAAGGGATTTGAAGAGGGCAAGGGGCCTGAGCAGCTCCATGCCACACACTGCCTCCCAGCACGGCATGGAGGCTGGCAGCAGCGATCGCCTTGGTGCTGGGATTGAAGTGCCTAAGCGCGCGCTGTCAGCACATTGCCGGAGCACTCCGCTTAATCAAACATTCTACAAACATCGAATATCTTCAAAGTTAACGTTTATATTAAATGTCGCCCTCTCCGCATGTGTGGAGCATCTAAAAGAACCAGTTAGAATGAGTGGACCCTGGCAGAGTGCCAGGGGGAATCAGTCTATGCCCTCTGCATGGCCCCAGCCTGCACGCAGGGTACATGGTTTTTTTGTTACATGATGTGCATAGCACCTGGCAGTGACGCTGCGCTGACGGAAATCTCCAAGTGCTAAGGCAAACAAGTAGAATCAGCAAGGCCGAGTTCAAACAGCATCAGCATTTCACAGAACGCCTGTTTTGCTGCTCTTCTTTTTTTTAACCAAAGGGCATTGAAGACTCCTAAATATGAATTAGGGTGCCATAAAAGCAAGTAACTAAAGTTTAATCCACAACAGGGCCTAGTGAAAGTTTCCATCTAGAAGCCTGTGGATTTTTAAGCTTTTACATTCAAACATAAAAATGAGAAGTGTAGAAGACTTTTTTCCCCCCCTGTTCAAGACAAGCAAGAGATGAAGTCAATCGGTGAGACTCGCTCTCCAGCCCAGTTGGCAGCCTTCAGCTGCCTAGAGACTTCCAGAGGGACAGCACACGCGGCCTCATCTTTCCCAGCACACAAAGAACTGAAACCATCCGAGCTTGCCAGGAGGTAGGGTCTTCCCCAGGACTACTCCCGTGGCCAGGGCCTCCAGGGAACTCACAGCTCTCCCCACAAGTGGTGAATGGGATTGTAACTTGCCACACGCCTCCCTTCCAGTGCTGTGTAGAGCTTAGAAACAGGGAGACAAAATAAACAAATCCTCCAAACCAGTTTTTAAACCACATGTTGAGACCTGAATATTGCTAAGTCATGCTCCAGGAAATTAAAAACAGAAGCTATTACTGAACAGCCACAATCATCGAATCCTCACCAAGAAACTAACAGATTTAAAAGCACAGGTAAAATTACGAATAATCAGCAAATCACCAGTAGCTGGCATAAACACAAGTAGGAGTGGAAGACAGCTCCTAAATCAAATATCCTAATGAACTTTGCTTAAAATATATATATATATAAACAATAAAAAGGACAAAACAAAGTAGTGATCAGAAGAGCACAAAATTACTCCTCAGAATTAAAGAAAAAAACCAACCCCAAACAATCCCAAGCAGTGGCCTAGCAGAAGTTCTGGTTCAGGAAGGCAAGCAGGCCACCCCAACCAGAGAGGAAAAGGAAGTCAGACCTGCAATCACTGGTGAGAGCAACTCACCCTCATCCGTATGAGCTTCACCAAACGCCAGCACTGGCTGCCTACAAAATCACTCTGAGCTGACACCTCAGAATGCACTTCCTACTTCTCTGCCAAAACACAAGATAATCCAGAACCTGTGGCAAAGCAGATAACTCTCAGTGGGTTTGCTAGCAGTGTCCTGTGAGAGCAAAAGAGCCTATCCAAACCACTCTCCTCAGAAGCAAAATCTCAGTGCAAATAATTAATATATATTTTTTCACATTACTAGTAAAGTCAGATTAAATATCCAACTATTTCTTAACTGAAGGGTAGAATAAGCTCATGTATAGGTGACCATTTCAGGGGACATTACTACAATATGAAGAAAAGTAAGGCCAATTCCATTACCCAAAGCTTGGGAGGGAGGAGTTGTTTTTAAACAGGCAAGTTGCATTGGGAGTAGTAGTTTTATATAATCACACATATTATGAGCTCTTACTGCCATTCCTGATAACGTGACCTGACAGATGCTTACTGCTGACTACACTTTTACTTATTTGACTTTGTACGTGTGACAGAGTGTGACAGTGCACTTCATCTCAAACCAAAACCATCTTCGGACAATTGGCAGCCTTGCAGGAATATGTGATCACTACTATACACTGTTTATTTTTACTTGGAAATGCTATCCTTACCACTCTTGGGAAACACCCACTGAATAAACTCAGTTACTAAGAGAAAAATACAAGAAAATCAGGAAAATGGGAAAGGCATTTTAGGATTAAATGCAGCATTGCAAGTCACATGTCAGCTCTTCCTTTTATAAAAGTATGATACAAACTGGAGCTGGTATTTTCTTTGCTATGACAAAAATCATGGAAAGCATATTGATTCCCATTACTTAACAACAGCCCCTATAAATTCCCACCGATCTCTTGGCCCGTTCCTGAAGAGCAATTTACAACGCACACTGGCGATAAGAGTACACGCCGTTCACAAGATTAAAGTCAAGGTCACATATTGTGCACTCAATAGTGCCTGTAAGACTGGGATCAGTTTCACTGATTCCACGTATATATTTAGAAGGAGCTGCTGAAGCCATTGGCTAACAGCCCTTCAACTACTGAAGGAAAGATAAACTCTGGCTTAAAGGGGAAAATCTAGCACGTCTCTATCAACAGTGGCACATACTGCTGCTGGAGGGAAGGGCAGTAGCTCTCATCCTTCACGGCATCTGAAAGGGAAACTCTCAGACTATGTTTTCTCCACACACACACACAAACACACACACACATTATATGTTCCTCTCAGACACACGCCAAACTGCTCACACTACAGCTCAAACCTGGGGCACAGCACCCTATGCTCGGAGGTTTACAGCGCACAAGGGCTCTCCTCCTTCCTCAGAAGGCACAATTTGCACAGAGGTCCCTAGTAGGCACCATCAGACACCAGCAGCCAACAACAACTGAATACACTGACTGCCAAAAACAGGCAAATATTCTGTTCCCAAGTAAAAAGCAACATAATTGTTTTTATGCCTCTAGGGATGGAAAGATCCTTACAGCATGTCCCAAGTCAACAGGCAGGGCACAATACCACTGTTAGACATCTCAAGTTCAGCATCTCTTCAGCCTAGTGTCACTCTTTAGCGTCACTTTACTATAAAGGATTAAACTGAAACATCTTTGCATAATAGAGAGATAACCCAGTTTTTAAGGTATCAGTAAGACTACTTATGAATTGGATAAAGCAGTAAAAATCTAAAGTCTCTTTCTAAAAGAAAGTGATGGGCAGAAGCAGTGTGCAACCAAGGTCACTTTGTCCTGACTAGTGCAAAGTTTCAATTAGCTAACATGAAAACAGAGCTTCTTCTAGACCTCACATTTGTTTCCTTTTCAGGAAATATTCCAAGTTATCCATCACCCGTGGCTCACTGTAACAAGCTGCACGACTGAAGGGTGGTTCAGTAGCCAAAGCCTCCGCAAAAGGGAGGCAAACGCCAGGGCTCTGCTCCTGCTCGGAGCCCAGAGCGGCACACTGGGCACAACTGGTGAGACTCGCTTGGTCGCCAAGCTGTGAGGTGAACGTCCCAAAAACACAGCCCATATTCAAGAGCTTTGATAAGCCATCTGCTTAAACGTCTATGCAATATTCAGTCACCGAACAGTGTTTTCCTGACTCTTTCTCCATTTATCACCATCAGCTCCTCATTATCCTCAAACTTTTCACTGATGCAGTCTAGATGATTAATACCAGGCTTCAAAATCAAGCTCTAGCATCTTGACACCCCAAAAAAACAACAACAAAACAACTCACAACTCTTCATTAACCTATTCCAAATCAAGTTTCCACAGGCTGTTTTTCTCCTCAAGGCATAACCTGCTTTCATTTTCATCACGTACACCTCAGGGAGGGAAAAGTTGCTCTGAACAGCCTTCTTCCAACTTATCGGAAGAAATGGGGAGCAACACGTCCCGAGAAACTCCCTGGGCACGATGAGCTCAGTGACCCAGTGGCAGGCTTAAGAAACAGTTATACCATATACGCATAATATAAATATTACATACATTGCATATGCATTATATATATTGCATATGCATTGCACATGCCCAGCCCTTGGCGACCGGGAAGGCTGGGGCGGCGCAGGGAGCCTCCCGCGCGGTGCCGGTACCTCGGAGCCGGGGGAACTCGCGCTCCCGGAGGCGGCCCAGGGCCCCGCCGTGCCCGGCGGGGGCGGTTGGTGAGCGGCTCCCCCGGCGCTGCAGGTGGCAAAAGCTCCGGCTGTGCCCGAGCCCTGGGTCTTGTGCAGCCGCTTGGTCGGGAAATCTGGAGCTTGGAGCGCGGGCAGGAGGAGGAGGAGGAGGAGGAAGGCGGCAGGAGAGCAGGAGGCCCTGCCGCGCGGGAGGCGATTGCTTGTTTCATTTTCTGTCATAATAATAATCGATCTTTTCCTGACGGATCATATTATTTGACTGAACTGAGCAGATTTCCACGTATAAAGAGATACTGAATAATATATATACATATAATTCTAAATAATTAGAAAAAATATAAAAGTAAACCTGGCATGGTAATGTGCTTACTACTTTATATACTTTGCCCAGTTGAAGAACGGAGCCCTGGCTCTGAGAAGTGTTTCTGTACGGCTATAGAAACATGCTCATCTCCGACTCCGCATGTGCTCGCCATTGCTGCAGGTGCTTAGCACTGTGCAGCCCATTCCCGGATTTAAACCCGTTCTTCTGGGCTGGCATCTCACAACATTTTACCTGCACTTTACTTTTTCCAGGTGTCAAAAAAAAAAGCTATACCATCTGTAAAAAAGAAGGAAATACCATCCATACAATCCACTATTTGACTGTGAAGCAACTTTACAGTGTAGTGCAAACACATACCCATTTAAAACAATGTCCCGTAACTAGTAACAGACACTGCAAAAAAAATTTATATGTCATAAATTATACATTCACTTTGGCTCCATGGCCCAAGCATTAGACGAACTGCTGCTCGCTGTCATGCGTGACTGGGGGAGAGCAGGAGCTGCATAGAAAAGGCACGAATCCATAGGACACCAGGCTTATTTGACCTGCTGCTCACAGAAAGCTGAATTTTAAAATACATTCAGAACAAGAATTAAGACTTCCTGTCACTTCTTTTGTTGAGGCCAAATTTAGGAGGAAACAAAACAGGAGGGGGGGAAATGCGGAATCCAAATATGACTTTTTTACTGAAATGAACAGTTTAGTTTAAAATGGAGTGTATTCGGGAAATAGCAGCAGCTTTACATGCCTGAAAATACTCTCGGGAGCAAGGGGCATGCTCAGAGTTTTTCCACCTGGGTTTTTACACCTGGTTAATCTGGTTTTACTACTATTAATAAGAAAAAAAAAAAAAAAAAAACAGAAACCCTTCTGAAACTACTTCAGTAGTTTCAATGGTTCCACATTGTCTGCACATCGCAGTAAATTAATGCCAGCATATTCACTTCAAGGTAGCATCCCAGCCCCCAAATGCCACTTGAGATATAGCCTGCCCCTCCCTGAGGGGAACAGCTAAGTACATATACTGTAAATTTGCCATAGCTTTACCAAAAAGGAGCTAATACAATTTGCTGAAGGAGACTAGTTCAATGCAACACTCAAGCCTTGGTATGGTCTTGTGTAAATGTAGCACTCTCAGGATTGTCAAAGGACCTTTATGGAAACTGGAAAGCCAAAATGACCGCCCTTGGCCCACGAAGAGGAGGATTTGGCCTCCTTTCTCCAGCACATAGCAGATACAGCCCACATCAAAATGCACTTTTTGCCTCGCTGAGGATCTCACCAAACGCCTTCACAATTCCCCACTCATATTCCAGGTGAACAGGACAAAACCAAAAAAAAAAAAAACAGTTTGCCATCAAGGGGAGGAATGTTTTTAGCTGATCCCCAGACATATCACTTTCTGGTTTTGGTAAGTACCAAAACCTTTTTTATTTTGATAGTTTATGTATTACAATTTAGAAGGCCCCATGCCATCACTATAACTTGTTGTTAGGAATGTATGTTAAAAAACAGCTGCCATGAGCTTTTCTTTCATATTTCTAGTTTCTCGTTATCAATTTCTAAAGTGATTTATTTATGGTGATGGTTATGTATACAGTTCCTTCAACATTTTCATGTACTGTTTACTTCAAATTGTTGCTTTCACTTCCTTATTGAATCTTATTTCCTGTTAGGAATATCTTTCTTCTTGACTGCACAACACAACTTTTTGATTACATAGTAAATTCATTTTAAGGAACTGAAAATTTCTATTCACGTTTTTCTATTAAAAACATTTCCTCCCAATTTCCATCATTTTTTCTCTCCTTCATCTTGGAAGATTATGTCTTTGAAAGCAACATGCTTGTAGAAATGTACTAACTAACTAACTTGAGTGCTCTCTGCATTGTATGTTCAATGTAATCTAGTCAAGATTACTAATTTCTGTGGAACTACCAGGTTTCCAGCACAGGATTTTATTCATCTTCATCCATCATAAAGGCCAAAATAAGCTTTTCTAATGTATAAGACATCTTCAATTTACTCTGCATCAATTTAGAAATTCTTGTTGTTTGGAAATTAGTATAGCCTGTAGAAAGTCTAGTTTGATTCTACTACAGGCTGCAAAGGCTGGAGATTGCATGGAATTTCCTCAGGAATCATCATTGTTTGTTCTGCACACAGCAGATTCCTGGTCACGGAGTAACTTTTCCTCTTCTCTGGCTATCAGATGAAACAAGGATCACTCTGTGTAAGCACTTTAATTAAACCATATACTTTGGTGAGCAGGTCTTACCTAGAGTCATGTTCACAGAGCTGTGAAACCAGAAAAGGTTGTTAGCAAAGGGCTGCTCTACACATGTAGTGGACATGCAAACTGCACATATATTCCCCTCTGCTTGCCCATCCTGTATTTTTTTCAGGGTCTTTCCTTAATGAAGGCTCAGAAGCAGAAATAGAACAACTTAACTTGCTATTTTTGAGTTTTAGCAGAGTGAAATAATGCCTGTAGGTAGTCTAGTTAGTAAGTTTCTTGCTTTGTAAGTGTTAATCTGTAATATTGTTGTTCCCTGGAAAATATTAGAGAACAAGAAAATGGATTTTTTTTATCCCTTCTGTGCACTGTGACAATGCTTTTTCTCCCCATCTAGTAACTTTTCAAGCATCATAAGAAGCAAGAAGAAATAACCTCTGAACGAATGAAATAATTCAGATTCCCAAAAGTATATGCTTCTCTCTGTAGAAAAGGGCTGTTGCAGCTTTACACAAAAACAGTGGCACTGCAGTACTGGTTACTTAGAGACTATTTCAGGCTGCAAATAATAAAACATCATCACACTGCAGAGAAGATGGGAGGCATTCAGCAGAAGGCCAAGAGACAATGCACCCAAGCTCATACAAGGCAAGTTCCAACCATAAGTAAGTAAAAAATGTTTTCCACGAGGGTGGTCAAACCCTGGCATAGGTTGCCCAAGAGGTTCTGGAGCCTCCATCCTCAGAGAGGCTCAAAATTGGCCTGGACGTAGCCCTGAGCCACCGGCTCCACTGGGACCGAGGACAGCAGGGAGACCTCTGCGGGTCCTTTCCAACCCTGGAAAAAATATAGTGCATTATTCTTGAAACCTACTGCAATAATCAGCCTAATATTTCCAAGGCATTAACATTTGAGCATTAGCATCAGCTTCCAGATAACTGGGCAAATAAGAAAAGGCTGTCTTGGCACATGGACTGCATAAGCTTTCTCTGACCCTCTCCAAGCCCTTTTTTGTGCCTGCATTTTTGCATGTCCCACCTGCATACAAGCCAGCTGAACAGTGCACATGCAGGGTCTCCACCAACAGCAAACATACAGGAAATGCAACCTCCCCTTCCTGTTAATAGAGGACAGTAAGACCCTCATCTCTCTGGGTTACTAGACCAAGCAATGGGTCCTTCATACTGTCCAAATAATTTAAGAAATGCAGCATCATGGAATAGCTGAGGCAGGAGACCACTTCTGGCAGTCATCTCGTCTATTCGCCCTGCTCCATTTATTTGTGCTTACCCTTGGTTACGCCACAAGTCTTCAGGAACTGGCATGTGTGCTTTACAGTGATGACAATATATATACAAAAACACAGCAAACCACATTACATTGTAAACTTCCAGGTCTGAACCCCGCTGCCTTTACCGCTACCATCCCGAGACTTGTGTTGGCAGCCACCACCGTTGATGGGGCTTCACTGCAAAGCTAGTACAACATGGCCAGATGAAGGCCGCAGAGAGCAGCCACTCATGCTCTATCTCTGCTGCTGCTTTACTGTGTAAACAGAAGAGATTAGACCTTTCATGTGGCAAAGTTAATGAAAGCGTTGAATCAGAGCTGATAGCCATGACAGGTCATCACACTTACATAATGTTAAGAACCAACATAATGCAGTATAAATGAACACTGCAAGAGTTATAGAGAGTTATGTAAGAGTTATAAATGAACATTGCAAGAGCAAGCTTGGGACGGAGAGGATTTCCTCTTGGGAAGATTTCCTTTTAACCACCAGAAAGGCAGATACTACTTTATTCCTCCAGTAACAGCAAAAGCATTAGTAGAAATGAATGCCACAGCCATTTAATGGATGTGCCAAGCTCGGCACATATGCAGCCTGCAATAAGCTTACAATGTCTTTCTTACATTTTAGGAAAGATATTGCAAGTTTATTAGAGCCCAGTTCAGACTTGCAGCGTTTTTGGATGCAACATAGCCTTCTGCATTCATCCATTATACACAAAAGCTATTTCCAGCCTGCTGGGTTCTTTTCCATATTATGTCCTGAAACGGTCAAATAAAGACAATTTTGCCCGTTACGGAAAGATCCTGATGCATGTACATACTACTCAGTCTCTGGCCAGTTAACTGACTGCACAGAAAAATGGTTCATGTCAGAAACCAATCAGTAGTTTACTGATTGTAAACAGTTATTTATTGACTGTAAGGAAACGTGATTTATCTAACCCACCACATATTTACAATTAGCTACAAGAAAACTATTTCCTCTATAGCCCTTTGAGCCTACCAAGTACAAAACACTGACAGAGCATCTAGGGCAGAAGTCAAGATTCCAGCTTCTGGTTTATCCGTCTGCTGCAGCAGGTTTAAAGAGAGAAAAAAAAAGAGGGGGCAGGGGAAAGAGAGAGAGATTGTAATTAATTGCAAACTACACACAAGGAAAAAGATAC